TTTCAGACGACGCACAAGTGAATGTCCATCTCCCAACTAATCATAAAGCAACTCCTGGTGCTAACAAGCGTGATGTTGCTGTATCTCCGTTGTACAGCAGCAGCCAAACGTACAGGGACTATTTTCTTCAGGCTACTGAAATGAGGCCACAAGGCAGCTATTTACTTACTATTAATAATGTTGCTGATGACAGTATTATAAAAGCAGTAAGGTAGTCGAGGCTGTGCTTTATTGTCAATGTTACACTTTAAGGGTTTGTCCTGAACTGGAACTGCCTCGAGTACCTTATTGCGTGAAATATTTCATCCTCAATGGATGAAATATTTCAGTATTCAATATTTCAATATTTCATCCTTAATGGATGTAAAAACACATTGTTGAGATAAGGGATAAATCATGAGACTTATTTACAGGTTAGAATGTTTCTACCTGAGAGCCTCATAGTGAATAAACTGACCTCACAGCATTATTGGTGACACACACACACAGATGAATTCAGTACCTGTCAGTTTAGACACAATTTCTCATCGAATCGATAAGAAAATGTGTCTCAACTTTTGACTGGTTCTCTATATGCAGCAGATAATAGAAAGACATTTGCTAATAAGTATTCAATAAGAGTACAAGTACTTCAAAAGTAACTGAGTAACTGTGACCTGTAGTTAAGTAAAGATTCAAACATTGACCTCTGAGATGTAGTAAAGTACATTAAGATGTTTACGGAGCAGAAGCATGAAGCGTCATTAGATCAAAGTACTGAAGTAACAAACAGTACAATGTTCACTCTCATTCCATCAGAAGATCTAAACTGTCTGTTTTATAGTAAATACGTCACATATTTAAAGTCTTTGGGGTTTCAGGACTTGTTGAATCGGAGGCTCGGGTCAACATTTATAGTCAATAACCTGAACAACAGACCATCGATGAATTACATTGTCCCCAGTTTGTAAAGTCACTTTGTTGCCAGAATGAGAAAGAGCAGAATGCTGAATCTACATGATAATAAGACATTAGTCATTAAGTCATCAGTCACCTCATTGGGTGTAAACATTACATTGCAGGTCATTTAGCAGACGCTTTTATCCAAAGCGACTTACATTACACTTTAAACACATGGCTTTTTTCACATTTTGCCCGGGGAGCAATTAGGGGTCAGGTGTCTTGCTCAGGGACACTTCGACTTGAGACATGGGGCAGCCTGGACTGGAACCTTGCGGTTCCCAGCGCACCCGCTCTTCCCCCTGACGACACAAATACTCCTTTGACAGACAGGAGTCTGAGTCAACAAAGCGAGCGATGTGAATTCTTTCAGTTAATCGCCCCGTTGCAGCTCCAAAAAGAGGCGTGTCTCTTCAAACAGGTCCGACTACAACTGACTCTAAACCACGCCCACCACCACACGGCTACTTAAAGCAGCGTCTCGTTAAAGCCTCAGGCTGTAACACGTCGCGTCCTCGCTGCGCACCTCGAGCTGTGAAGAGTCCAGACAGAAGAAGAAGAACCGCGTTCTGAGGACATGCGAGGTAATGAATTAATGAATTAATTAATGTCTTGATGTTGGTGTTTGTATCATTTGGTCAAACGCATCCGTCCTCCTGCTGGAGTCAAATTAAAGATGAAATCCTACTTTAAGGGTTCTGAACAGAAGATGGTTCCGTGAGTTCCTGCCGCTGTCTTTAAGGAGTGTTTTAGTTCGTAGAGGGTTCATGAACTGGTCCACACTCCAGTACAGGACGTGCAGGCTGATGGTACCCAGACAAAACTAAACGAATCTTTATCAAATACTTGTCTTTAATAAAGGTGCATTTTTATTTGTACTCTTTATTCTTGTGTTTATAGATGCAATGTGTGTGTTGGGATTACAAATGTAGCAGTTACGCATAATCAAATACTAAGAAGTGGCAGAATAAGCAGCTTTTACCGTCAATTCAGTGCGGATCCTCAACATGTTGCGCAACTCTGCTGTGCACGTGAAACCGGCCAGTAATCACGTGACGTGTCCAACATGGACCAATTTATATCCGGATGTTACTGGACAAATAATCTACCAATTAGTGAGCCGGCAACTATTTCAGGTTTAATATTAAACTGATAAGTTTAGTTGAGTGATGCCAACTGCAAGACGTTTAACATCTAACTCCACTACTGGTGTGTTTATGGACGTCGAGCGTGCGTGTGTCCCGCAGGCAAACAACCTTAAAACATCACAGGGAATAACGTGGGTTGTCTTCCGATCAATGCGCAATAATGTACCCGACCAGATGGGTAAATGTAAATGAAATCAAATACAAACCAGGAAGCACATCGACTCATGGAAAACAGCTGTATTCAAACGTAAAACATATAATCCCAATCAAACATAAAGGTACAGCAGTTCTATATAAACACATGTTTAAGTCCTCTGATGAAAGTTTGTTACGGAGTCCAGATAACGTCACTTTGTGTTAAAGTAGACTGCGTGTCCGGTGTGTCGGTTGATATGTCCTTTGATGTTAAAAGTGCTGTTAAGATATTACAAGTCTTTTTTTAAATCTATAACAACAAAGATTAATGTTCCCTGTTGCAGGAGCGAGAAGAGTCTGTTCTGGGGAGTTCTGTTATGGGGTGATAGCCAGAAGAAGGGTTGGACTCAAAAGCAGGATTCAGAGAAATGAAAGATTTTATTTTTGGCAGCAGAGGGACTTAGTTCGGGATCCGTGGCCGGGGAAGATGCTGGAGAGGCAGAGAGGCACAGGGGTCCAGGCGGCAGATAGAACCCACGCTGGAGGGAGAGGTAAAGACCCGGCTGGCTGGAGGAGTTCTCCCAAGCAGCGCAGGGCGAGAGGGGAAGCCGGGGAATGCGTCAGGTTCCAAGAAGCAGGCTGGGATGGGACTGAAACATGAAAAAAAGGTCATTGCAACAAAAACTCTTTCCTTTGAAAATCGTTCTCGGGTTAGAGCTGGCCAAGTTACCACTAGGAAGGCAAAACGATCTGGCAAAGACTGGTGCTCCTGCTGTTCCTTAAGAGGGGCTCCTGACGATCGTAAATGCAGGACAGGTGTGACAGCAGGCAGCCACCAGGTAACTACGGAAACCACCACACCTCCAAAGCCAAGTCAGATCATGACATTCTCTCCTTGATGATCGTGGGGCCTGCAAAGAAATACATCTCTAAATGAGGACATTAAAGGATATTAAGAGTTTCAGTTGGAAACAAAGTCTAAAGAGAGAGAAAAAAAAGTATGTTGTTTACGATGTAAAGACATCGTTTCCTGATGTGATGATGATGTTTGAGCCTCTTCTCCTCTGTCTCCTCTCACAGGGAGGAGATGATCTGCAGCATCCTGGTGATCTTCATCCTGACCTCCTGTGTCTGTGGTCAGTTCACTTTTGTGTTTGTGAAGCAGCTGTGAAGCATCAGCACACACTCCTCAGAAACATCTGGAGATGGAGTCTAAAGGCTCCATGTTAAAGCTGTCACTTTGTCACCTCCTCCTCTCCTTCTCTGTCTCCTCAGCAGGGTCATTTGTAGTGAATGTGACACAGAGCTGGTATCATGCAGAGGAGAACCACAACATCTCACTGGAATGGATGTTCCCCACCAGCACGGACCCCTCCCCCAACGCCCTTCATGTCTCCTGTGAGATGTTAGCTGATAAGATACCCGTAGTCGTGTTTCATCTGTATGAAGGTGTCGAGGTCCCAGAGTTTCAGGATAAACGCTTTGCAGGACGAGTCCAGTGGGACAAAGACGTCCTCAGAGAAGGACGACTCAGACTTCACATCTCCAGACTCCAGACTAATGACTCGGGGCTGTACTGGTGTCAGGTGGACACAAGTTATGGGAAGAACTTTAAGGAATGTCACCTCAAGGTCACTGGTAGGTTCATTAAGATAAACTTACTAACACGTTTAATTCAGCAGCTTTATTCAGATAAATAAACCTTTTTCTTTACATTAATAAACAGATTTGTTGTGTCTCTTTGCAGCAGTGAAGGATCGACCCGAACCTGAGACAACGAGTGACACCAGTCTGAGAGGAGATCCTCGGGGATGGATTGTTCTCTACTGTGCACTGCGACTGACAGCAGCTCTACTGGTTCTTTATTAATTTTATCTTTGCATTACCAAAAATATTAGTGATTACTACAGAAATGATGCAACAATCAATGGTGACATGAAGTGTCAGGGAGACTGTGGGTGTAGAGTCCAACCACAGGATCAACGGTTCCATCCCTGCTGACCCGCGTGTTGATGAGCCCTTGAGCAAGACACTTAACCCAGCATTGCTCCTGTAGCTGTGACCACAGAGTGAGAATGGAGTGAATATTAGTTACTGACGGCAGGAAGCTGCTCATCAGTGTGTGAGAGGATCAATGATCTTATATATTTATATATAAGACGTAAGTTGGAGGAATGGATGAAAAAGTGGACGTTAAAAGTCATTTGTGTCATTGTGTAACTTCTCAACCTGCATCACTGACAGTGTTTTTTATTTATTATTATTTTTTTTTTAAATCTGACTGAGATTCAAAGGAAAAGTGTTTTTTTGTTCTAGACCTTCAGCTCCTCTAACAGAGACTCTGACTACTGAACATATTCTGCATTAAGCATCATGCTGCTCGTCATCAAAGACTAATGTTTATTCTGGTTTCTGCTTCAGAAAGAAAAGGAAAAGCCATAAAGCCTGTATGAAGAGAAATAGATCCTCACGCTGCCTCAATATTGCATTTTGCACATAATGCGATTAATCGTTGTTAACCACAGAAAAATAATAATAATTCAACTTCTTCCTTTCCCTAACATTAATACATACCAATTCGTATTTGTACAAAAAATACACTGTTACATTACTTTTATTTATTTAATATATTGTGAATGGAATAAAGTATTACCTGTTTAATCACTACGAAATCAGTCTCTTCATTTGTCGTATTAATTCAATAAGTCACACACATTAAATACACACAGCATACAAGGTACACACACTTCTCAGCATTCTGTCTATGCAGTGAACACTCTTTTATTTCATAATGTGATCACTGAAGAGGTTGTTAATGCTGCTACATGTCGTGATTATTAGTGACCATTGAAAAGTCCTGAGGAGAGTTCTCTAAAGTGAGAGAAATAAGCTGTAGGCTGACTTCTGAGCGGACCGACGGCCTGCTGGCCGGGTCCTCTCGTCTCATCGTCTCTCGGGTGAAACCACAAGAACCACTCAGGTTCAAAACAAAAGTGTATCAAGCAGCGAAATCCAGATGAGGTGATTTATGAAATGCGAGTGTGTAAAGTGTGAAACATGTTGGACTGTTGTTCCAGACGCTCGTCCTCCTGTTCGGTAGTCGAGATCATCAGCGTTCACCCTGTTGCCTCGTCTAAGTCAGGAGGGCCGTACTTTAGGCCTCTGTGAGTACATGAATATGTGGTAGAACACCTGTGAACACGCGTGTGCGTGTACTCCAGTGCTGTGGAGTCAGTTTACGCTGTGAATAAACAATGAGGACATGTGAAGGACAGACGTTATGAGGCATGATGGGACATATCTAGCAGCTTGGGGACCAATGGGTGTCCATCAGGGAGCAGATGTTCAACTAGAAGACGATACCTGTTCCATCCACCAGGGGGCGTCACGTGATCACACTACTAACTACTGATAACAACCAGGTTCTCTGCATCTGCACCGCTGCAGTAGTTCCCACACGTTTGATTTTACGTGATGATTTTTTTTACGTAACTTTATGAAGAATATTCATGTATAAATGCAGTTTATAAAGAACAATGTTTAATTTCTTTTCTAACAATATTAAGCTTTTGTTTCAAATCAGCTCAGTTTGTTTCTCTTATAAAGGTGGAGGTGGTGGGTGGAGACTGTGTCCTTAAATTCCTCACTGTCTGTGGTGAAAGCATTTTCGGTTGAGACGAACGTGTTACTACAAGTCCAAAGACTTCAGGGAGCAGCAGGAGTCGAATGTCAACGATGAGATGTGTGATCGATGTATGATGTGAGCACCAAAACCTTCACTCATGGGAAAGGTTTAGGATGAACGTCACTGACTGAGGAGTTTACTTGTTGAAGACCTTCAGTTCACATGATTCAAGACGCCCAAGGTAAGGAGAGAATGACTTAATGTTGGTGTTAGAATTATATTATATATATATATATGTATATATATAACATTTATTATGTGACGATAGCTGGATTACAGAAGTTATTAACAGGTAATAACGTTGTTTGTTTTGTTCATTAAAGAGAATTAAACCGTAAAACTGCCCTTATTAAAGTTGTAAATGACATCCGTCTTAACACAGACTCTGGCAAAACTTCAATATTAATGCTATTTGACCTGAGTGCTGCATTTGATACTGTCGACCACTCAATACTTCTGGACAGGTTGGAAAACTGGGTGGGGCTCTCAGGCACAGTCTTAAGCTGGTTCAGGTCATATCTACAAGACAGGAACTATTTTGTTTCCATTGGTGACTTCGTATCAGAAGCAACCGACATAACGTGTGGAGTCCCCCAAGGTTCGATCTTAGGGCCGACTTTATTCAACATCTACATGCTCCCACTAGGACAAATCATGCAAAAAGATTGACCACCATTGCTACGCTGATGACACCCAAATCTTTGTAGTGCTATCACCAAACGACTATCGCCCCATAGATCTTCTGTGCCAGTGCATCGAGCAAATCAAAGACTGGATGTGTCAAAATTTCCTACAACTAAATGAAGACAAAACTAAGATCATTGTATTTGGTGCTAAAAAAGAAAGGTTTAAAGTAACCCAACACCTTCACTCTCTGTCCCTGAAAACATCGAATAAAGCCAGAAATCTGGGGGTTATTATGGATTCAGATTTACACTTGGAGAGTCACATCAAATCAGTAACACAATCGGCCTACTACCACCTCAAAAATGTGCCACGACTTAGAGGGCTCATGTCAGCTCAAGACTTAGAAACACTTGTACATGCCTTTATAACCAGTAGGCTAGATTATTGTAATGGTCTCCTTGCAGGTCTTCCAAAAAAAACTGTCAGGCAGCTCCAGCTTCTTCAGAACACTGCTGCTAGAGTTCTAACAAAGACCAAAAAATGTGAGCACATTACACCAATTCTTAAATCCTTACATTGGCTCCCAGTATGTCAGAGAATTAATTTCAAAATCCTACTGCTCACATATAAATCACTACATGGTTTAGGGCCAAAGTACATCACTGATATGCTTCCACTACATAAGCCTTCAAGATCACTAAGATCTTCTGACACCATCTGTTAGTGATTCCCAGAGTAAATACAAATCATGGGAAAGCATCATTTAGTTACTACGCAACAAACAGCTGGAATAAACTTCCTGAAGATTTAAGACTTGCCCCAACTCTGACCACGTTTAAAACAAGACTGAAAACTTTTATGTTCAGCTTCGCCTTCGGCTAAATTTTACCTACATTGCACTTTTAACCTCTGCCTTTAATTAAACAATTTAAATAAGATTTTAATTTATAATTTTATTTGCTGTTTTTAATTGTCTTTTAATTCCTGCATTTTATTTCACTATATTGTATGAAATGTTATGATGTGAAGCACTTTGAGTCTGCCTTGTGTATGAAAAGCGCTATACAAATAAAATTGCCTTGCCTTGCCTAAAAAGATGTATTTATTATTATTATTGATGACAATTCAGAATATAACCTGATCCACCAAGAACAAGTTTATCATTTAGTAAAGAACATTTTCAGTATTAGCATGAGGTGGTGTGTTCACTGTGTTGTTAGGATCAGGAAATATTTATTACCATAATATGTCAGACATACAAGGAATTTGACTGGTATTTGGCGGTTGATGCGTAACAGCAGACAGTACGACGATGAACGACAAGACAACAGTCAAATAAAATATAACGCTATGGGTTAGTTTAAAAATAAAGGAATGAAAGTAAAAGTTTAAAAGTGAAAAGGTTGGTGGAGCTGTGGGGATGGAGTCAGGACACTGTCTATAGAATCTGCAGTAGGACTCATTCAGCCCGTCTGCCAGGCGGAGGTCTTTCATGGAGTGGAGGGTTTTGGCTTGTAGCTTGTGAGGCGTTTAAGGCCTCCAAACCAAAGCAGAGTCACTTGCTGAGACTGTTGTTGGAGTTTCTCAGACTCAAACGCTGCTTCTGTTTAGTTGTGACTCTGTGAAGAAGAAGGAGACCAACTAAACAATCAGGGATGAAGAATTCAGTCTCTGAATTAAATAGAACTTTCTCCGTTTATTTACGTAGATCCTTTTTTTAAATGTTTTGACTATAAAACAATTACAGATTTATTTAATGCTATTATTTGATGTGATGTTTAGGGTTTATTTCCAGTCATAGTTGTATAGATCTTTTTATATGTATGTCACGAAAGAGTAAAAATGTATTGTTCATTAAGCAACAAATAATGAGTTTAAGAATAGTTTGGTTCAGTAACATCGGTGTATTTGTCACTTTCATCCTAAATCGAATGGTTGGACCAAAGAGGTCTAAGGGCCAAGATAAAGATATAATGTTGGTCAAATGTTATTGACTAAAGAAAATTATTTCTGTTTTGTTAATGTCAAATTTGCTACAATTTAAAAAATAATCAGACTTTATCAGTTACCACTTATTGTGTTCATTTTAGTGAGGGCAGCTTCTAAATGCAGAAACCCCACAGATTTAGAACAATTCAATTCTTATTTTAAGGAAGAGTCCAGTTATTTCACAGCCAAGGTGAGTGGAACCAACAAGAGGTGGACTCACTTACACAATGTCACAACAAAGCGCTCAGGACCAGGAAGCTACAGAACATCAGGATGTGAAGACACACTGTAGATTGTTGGTGTGATGATGATGTTTGAGCCTCTTCTCCTCTGTCTCCTCTCACAGGGAGGAGATGATCTGCAGCATCCTGGTGATCTTCATCCTGACCTCCTGTGTCTGTGGTCAGTTCACTTTTGTGTTTGTGAAGCAGCTGTGAAGCATCAGCACACACTCCTCAGAAACATCTGGAGATGGAGTCTAAAGGCTCCATGTTAAAGCTGTCACTTTGTCACCTCCTCCTCTCCTTCTCTGTCTCCTCAGCAGGGTCATTTGTAGTGAATGTGACACAGAGCTGGTATCATGCAGAGGAGAACCACAACATCTCACTGGAATGGATGTTCCCCACCAGCACGGACCCCTCCCCCAACGCCCTTCATGTCTCCTGTGAGATGTTAGCTGATGAGAGACCCTTTACCCTGTTTGAGCTGTATGAAGGTGTCGAGGCCCCAGAGTTTCAGAATAAACGCTTTGCAGGACGAGTCCAGTGGGACAAAGACGTCCTCAGAGAAGGACGACTCAGACTTCACATCTCCAGACTCCAGACTAATGACTCGGGGCTGTACTGGTGTCTAGTGCTCACAAGTTATGGGAAGAACTTTAAGGAATGTCACCTCAATGTCACTGGTAGGTTCATTAAGTTAAACTTACTTATGATAATGAAACAGCCCTCAAGGAGGAATTGGTGCTTTCTTTGTTGACCACTTTCAGCTGATTAATACTCCTGTATGTGCAGATGTCAACACGAGTGTATTTTGTTATAATAAAACACAGCGATTTTATCTTTAATAGAGAACTAAATTAATTAATTGAAACATCAAGATGATCAAACAGCTTAATATGCAACTCACACATTCAATGAGCCTTTAGGTTATTGTTGTTTATTTCAACATGACAATGATGTTTTCTTCACCGCTGCTAACGAGCCCGACCCAGTGACATTAGAGCCAGCACCGACCACTGATAGGTTTATGAAGTTAAACGTTATTCAGATAAATAAACCTTTCTTTACATGAATAAACTGATTTGTTGCGTCTCTTTGCAGCAGTGAAGGATCGACCCGAACCTGAGACAACGAGTGACACCAGACTGAGAGGAGATCCTCGGGGAAGGATCGGCCTCTACTGTGCACTGGGACTGACAGCAGCTCTACTGGTTCTTTATTTTATCGCTGCTTTGCAAACAAGACCAGTGATCAGCAGAACAAACGATACACCAGAAACACAATACAAGTTATTGATCCTTTAAGTGTTTGTACAGAAACAGTCTGAGTTGTTCTGACTGAAGTCAACGGGGTCGTTGTGGTGCAGAGGTTAGAGAAGGTGCGCTGGGAAGCACAAGGTTGATGGTTCGAGTTCAGGCTGTTCAAGTGTCCCTGAGCAAGACACCTAACCCCTAATTGCTCCCCGGGCCAAATGTGAAAAAAGCTGCTAAATGACCTGTAATGTGATGAAGTCCAGCTGAGACGCATCACAGCATGAATGAAAGTCAATGGTGACATGAAGTGTCAGGGAGACTGTGGGTGTAGAGTCCAACCAAAGGATCAACGGTTCCATCCCTGCTGACCCGCGTGTTGATGAGCCCTTGAGCAAGACACTTAACCCAGCATTGCTCCTGTAGCTGTGACCACAGAGTGAGAATGGAGTGAATATTAGTTACTGACGGCAGGAAGCTGCTCATCAGTGTGTGAGAGGATCAATGATCGTATATATTTATATATAATATATAAGACGTAAGTTGGAGGAATGGATGAAAAAGTGGACGTTAAAAGTCATTTGTGTCATTGTGTAACTTCTCAACCTGCATCACTGAAAGTGTTTTTTTTTTTGTTTTGTTTTTAATCTGACTGAGATTCAAAGGAAATCCACAATCTTTACAGACTGAAGTGTTTTTTTTGTTCTAGACCTTCAGCTCCTCTAACAGAGACTCTGACTACTGAACATATTCTGCATTAAGCATCATTTTGCTCGTCATCAAAGACTAATGTTTCATCTGGTTTCTGCTTCAGAAAGAAAAGGAGAAGCCGTAAAGCCTGTATGAAGAGAAATAGATCCTCACGCTGCCTCAATATTGCATTTTGCACATAATGCGATTAATCGTTAACCACAGAAAAATTGTGCGATTTATCAAATTATATTTCTTCATCTTTTCCTAACATTAATACATACCATTTCATATTTGTACAAAAAATACACTGTTACATTACTTTTATTTACTATCATACTTGTATCTTTGAATATATTGTGCCTGGAATAAAGTATTACCTGTTTAATCACTACGAAATCAGTCTCTTCATTTGTCGTATTAATTCAATAAGTCGCATAGTGATCAAATCCATCCTCAATACTACAAACGTGTCACATGAAGGTAAATGTTAAGAGAGAAGCAGATTAAATACACACAGCATACAAGGTACACACACTTCTCAGCATTCTGTCTATACAGTGAACACTCTTTTATTTCATAATGTGATCACTGAAGAGGTTGTTAATGCTGCTACATGTCGTGATTATTAGTGACCATTGAAAAGTCCTGAGGAGAGTTCTCTAAAGTGAGAGAAATAAGCTGTAGGCTGACTTCTGAGCGGACCGACGGCCTGCTGGCCGGGTCCTCTTGTCTCATCGTCTCTCGGGTGAAACCACAAGAACCACTCAGGTTCAATAAACAATGAGGACATGTGAAGGACAGACGTTATGAGGCATGATGGGACATATCTAGCAGCTTGGGGACCAATGGGTGTCCATCAGGGAGAAGATGTTCAACTAGAAGACGATACCTGTTCCATCCACCAGGGGGCGTCACGTGATCACACTACTAACTACTGATAACAACCAGGTTCTCTGCATCTGCACCGCTGCAGTAGTTCCCACACGTTTGATTTTACGTAACTTTATGAAGAATATTCATGTTAAAATGCAGTTTATAAAGAACAATGTTTAATTTCTTTTCTAACAATATTAAGCTTTCGTTTCGAATCAGTTCACTTTGTTTCTCTTCTAAAGGTGGAGGTGGTGGGTGGAGACTGTGTCCTTAAATTCCTCACTGTCTGTGGTGAAAGCATTTTCGGTTGAGACGAACGTGTTATTACAAGTCCAAAGACTTCAGGGAGCCGCAGGAGTCGAATGTCAACGATGAGATCTGTGTGATCGATGTATGATGTGAGCACCAAAACCTTCACTCATGGGAAAGGTTTAGGATGAACTTCACTGACTGAGGAGTTTACTTGTTGAAGACCTTCAGTTCACATGATTCAAGACGCCCAAGGTAAAGAGAGAATGACTTAATGTTGGCGTTAGAATTATATTATATATTTATAATATTATATATATAACATTTATTATGTAAAGATTGCTGGATTACAGAAGATATTAACAGGTAATAACGTTGTTTGTTTTGTTCATTAAAGAGAATTAAACTATAAAAAGATGTATTTATTCAGAATATAACCTGATCCATCAAGAACAACTTTATCATTTAGTAAAGAACATTTTCACTATTAGCATGAGGTGGTGTGTTCACTGTGTTGTTAGGATCAGGAAACATTTATTACCATAATATGTCAGACATACAAGGAATTTGACATGGCGGTTGATGCGTAACAGCAGACAGTACGACGATGAACGACAAGACAACAGTATCAAATAAAATATAACGCTATGGGTTAGTTTAAAAATAAAGGAATGAAAGTAAAAGTTTAAAAGTGAAAAGGTTGGTGGAGCTGTGGGGATGGAGTCAGGACACTGTCTATAGAATCTGCAGTAGGACTCATTCAGCCCGTCTGCCAGGCGGAGGTCTTTCATGGAGTGGAGGGTTTTGGCTTGTAGCTTGTGAGGCGTTTAAGGCCTCCAAACCAAAGCAGAGTTACTTCTCAGACTCAAACGCTGCTTCTGTTTAGTTGTGACTCTGTGAAGAAGAAGGAGACCAACTAAACAATCAGGGATGAAGAATTCAGTCTCTGAAATAAATAGAACTTTCTCCGTTTATTTAACTTCCAAGTGAGAAAAGTCATAACAGATAAGTGCTCATAGACTGAGGGACTCTGTCCGTGTCTCACGCAAGTGGACCACGTTTCTTCACCTCAGCGAGTCGCGAATCCTCCAACAGAACTTTGTCCGTGCAACAGATCACTGATGAAAACATTCCTTAGGTGTGATTCCCAACGTCTCCTGACGCTGCGGGTCATTGAATGCGTCCTGACACCTTTTGATAATTCCTTTTGCCCTTTAAACGAAGATATGTAAACACCAAGTACCAACCTGAAAACAAGAAAAGGACTTTTATTTACGTAGATCCTTTTTTTAAATGTTTTGACTATAAAACAATTACAGATTTATTTAATGCTATTATTTGATGTGATGTTTAGGGTTTATTTGCAGTCATAGTTGTATAGATCTTTTTATATGTATGTCACGAAAGAGTAAAAATGTGTTGTTCATTAAGCAACAAATAATGAGTTTAAGAATAGTTTGGTTGAGTAACATCGGTGTATTTGTCACTTTCATCCTAAATCGAATGGTTGGACCAAAGAGGTCAAAGAGCCAAGATAAAGATATAATGTTGGTCAAATGTTATTGACTAAAGAAAATGATTTCTGTTTTGTTAATGTCAAATTTGCTACAATTTAAAAAATAATCAGACTTTATCAGTTACCACTGATTGTGTTCATTTTAGTGAGGACAGCTTCTAAATGCAGAAACCCCACAGATTTAGAACAATTCAATTCTTATTTTAAGGAAGAGTCCAGTTATTTCACAGCCAAGGTGAGTGGAACCAACAAGAGGTGGACTCACTTACACAATGTCACAACAAAGCGCTCAGGACCAGGAAGCTACAGAGCATCAGGATGTGAAGACACACTGTAGATTGTTGGTGTGATGATGATGTTTGAGCCTCTTCTCCTCTGTCTCCTCTCACAGGGAGGAGATGATCTGCAGCATCCTGGTGATCTTCATCTTGACCTCCTGTGTCTGTGGTCAGTTCACTTTTGTGTTTGTGAAGCAGCTGTGAAGCATCAGCAGACACTCCTCAGAAACATCTGGAGATGGAGTCTAAAGGCTCCATGTTAAAGCTGTCACTTTGTCACCTCCTCCTCTCCTTCTCTGTCTCCTCAGCAGGGTCATTTGTAGTGAATGTGACACAGAGCTGGTATCATGCAGAGGAGAACCACAACATCTCACTGGAATGGATGTTCCCCACCAGCACGGACCCCTCCCCCAACGCCCTTAATGTCTACTGTGAGATGTTTGCTGATGAGATACCATCAGTCATGTTTCATCTGTATGAAGGTGTCGAGGTCCCAGAGTTTCAGAATAAACGCTTTGCAGGACGAGTCCAGTGGGACAAAGACGTCCTCAGAGAAGGACGACTCAGACTTCACATCTCCAGACTCCAGACTAGTGACTCGGGGCTGTACTGGTGTCAAGTGGACACAAGTTATGGGAAGAACTTTAAGGAATGTCACCTCAAGGTCACTGGTAGGTTCATCAAGTTAAACTTACTAACACGTTTAATTCAGCAGCTTTATTCAGATAAATAAACCTTTTTCTTTACATGAATAAACAGATTTGTTGTGTCTCTTTGCAGCAGTGAAGGATCGACCCGAACCTGAGACATCGAGTGACACCAGACTGAGAAGAGAAAGGGAAAGCATCGTTCTCTACATCGTTCTCTACTGTGCACTGGGACTGACAGCAGCTCTATTGGTTCTATAGTATATTGCAAAAAAATATTTGATCAGCACAACAAATGATACATCG